AACGCTATAACAACTAACGTCTCACGTGCTCAACTTCAACAATACTCAGTTCAATTACACACTCTCTGACTGCAGTTCAATTACTCATTACCCCCCCCCCCGTCGCTTCGTGGCCGGTCTTATATATACCAGACTACCCCAATCTAGTAGTCTCCCGACAATTCACGAAGGAACAGGATATTTCTAGAAGGAGGTGGCGTGATGCTAGTCACGTGACCTCGCTGACGCAACAGTATAAAAACAGACTCAAATAACTTAACTATACATCATTTTCAGGAAAAAATTATTAAATATTTTTCAAGGGGGTATGCTCTCGGACCTTCCAGAATGGCTTCGCTACTACTTCCCTCTGTTTCCAAAAGTAGCGTCTCCTCTTTATACATTTCTGCCCACGTCCCTGGTAATGGCTAGGTACAAATGCTATTAAGAATATGCACTAACGAAAGATAAACGTTAGTGGCGAAAAATGAGAAGAATAAAGTACTGGAAGTTTAAAAACAAAATCAGCTGTGGATGGCCTTACTCTTATCTGAAAACTATGGAAAATGTTTTGAATCTTCTAGCACTTAACTATGTATATCAAGATGTTAACGTTAGGCAAACGTTATTTAAACTTACTGTATGCAGTATATCTAGATCAACGTGGCTCCTTTCAGGTGGTGAGTGGAAAGTTTGCATAATTATGAAAAGGAAGCGATAGCGATTGTGGTTCGGCAACATAATAAAAAAAATTAAGTGGTCCGTGAGCCACTGATCTATTAATATGATAGTTACCTGTAAAGAGATTGTTCCTCGAATGGACACGACCACAGTTCTCCTCTCGTGGTCTAAGGCCACCAAAAATGGCGTTTCACCAACCTAGAACGACAAAACAAAACCACCCTTATACTAAATAATATTTTATAATACTTGCAAAATACGTTTACCTGTAAGTGTACCAAGTTATTTTATGTGAAAGTGAAAATTCTTATATTCACACTTAACTTTAACGAATGTATAAAAATGAAATATCTTTCCTTAAAATATTTTGAACATAATAGGATGTATGGTAATATAATTTCGTTAATATAAAGTGACGTAAGATATTTAATCAAAATCATAATTAAACATCATCCTTTATCGGTAGACTTCAGAAAATTACGACATAAAAAGGTTTTGAGATTGTCTTCTATCTGTTAGGAACTGGTATTTGGAAAATAATAAGTAAGTACACCAATAACAGATAAAGTTATCCGAACTTATTTTCTGTTGCGTCAGTATGATGACAGGTACATAGAAAAACGTGATTTTCAGTCTTTCATAGAAAATAAACGTTTCGCAATTGAATTTTGCCTAATCAGGCGTAGCTGTTTTACAGAGTACATTACTTTTAAAATTGGGTATAATCTGGTTACCTTAGGTAGACAATAGGATTTAGATTATTCTTTATCTATTGCAATTCAATATTAAATGGCATTTAATAACACAACAACATATTGTTAATCTTCGTCTCAAATTAGCGGCATACTTTATGGAAGCATGGAAAATATAACTGGAATAGAACCTAAACGACTACCTATAAATCATCGCAGCTTGAGACTAATACAACCTTGGCAAAACTGGATAAAGAGCTCTTCTATAAATTGTCGCAGATTGAGTCTCATATAGCCTTTAAGAAACTGGATAAAGTCTACTGCCTACAAATCGTCGAAATTGGAGTCCCATACAGCTTTCTAAAAACTGGATAAGTCTACTACCAGTAAATCGTCGTTGACTGAAACTCATACAACCCTGGGAAACTGGATAAAGTCTACGATCTACAAGTCATCGAAGCTGGAGACTCTTACAACCTTGGGAAAACTAGATGAAGTCTACTACTACTACTACTACCTATAAATCTTGGCAGATTGAGACTTATAAACCTTTAGGAAAATGGATAAAGTATATTACCTACAAATTGTTGAAGTTTGAGATTAAGACGGTCTTGAAAAACTTGATAAAGTCTACTAGTTATAAATCGTTGCAGATGGAGAATCGTACAGCCTTAGAAAAACTGGAAAAAGCCTACTACCTATAAATTATCGAAGTTGGAGACTTGTATAGCTTTGGGAAACTATAACTCTACTACCTATAAATCACCGCAGTTGGAGACTCGTACAGACTTGTAAAAACTGAATAAAGTCTGATAAATGATGTTGGTCACTCTTACAGTCTTGGGAAAATTGGACAAAGTTTACTACTTATAAATATTCGAAGTTGGAGACTTGTACGGCCTTGAGAAACTGGATGAACTATACTACTACCTTAAGCTTTAGAAAATTATATAAAGTTTACTACGTATAAATAGTAGAAGTTGGAAATTTGTACAACCTTGGGAAACTGGATGAAGCATATACTACCTATAAAGCGTCGAAGACGGAGACTTCCTCAGCCTTGTAAAAACTGGATAAATCGTCGAAGTTAAAGATTCGTACAACCTTGGGAAAACTGAGTGAAATTCAATAAAAAATAAATCTTTGGGAATAAAATTAGCAACCAGTAGGTGTTTTTGAATGTTGCGCAGCTTCTTCAAAGTGAACAAAGAATTAGGATTGAAGAGGATTTCAGTGCGTGGGAGGAATACATACATTAATGATGTGTATGGACATTTTGACATTCAGAGTAGGAGGAATTATCAATTCTGCTTGGGCTACTTTTGTTACGTTTTTTGTGAGTCATCTGGTCCCATTGATGAGTAACATAAAACGAAATAACAGCCAGAGTTAACTTCTTAGCAGTAAGATGTTTATAAGGTGAATCCTAATTAGCTGAGTGCGAGAAGAAACTACAGTTTGCGTCTGCTTCTTGTAGAGATCGAATATATATCATCTACAAAGATGATTCAACACACTAGGACAAGGAACATACAGTCTGGAAAAAACGAGTGAGAGTTCGGGAGGTAAGTCAAGGAACAAAATGTCGAAGGTGAGTCTTGAGTTGTCTTGAAGTTTCTCTTTATTTGATACAAATCTCAGTTTATTTGTTGCATATAACAGGAACACTAATCTATGTTCTAAACCACTATGGCAGAACAAAAGCGGGTTGTTTTGCACATATAGAACTGATCTTATTAGAGGTGTGCCTGAAGAAAATATGAGCATCTATGAATAAATGAAATTCTGCATCATTTTTTTCTGTTAAATATTTCTTAGCATGGCAGAAAAGTAGCTCTTGATTATTGTGGAAACTCAGCAAGAAAGTCGACGTAACCTATGGTTATTGTAGAAACTCGGCAGGAAAGTAGCTCTTGATTAT